GGCACCCGCCTGGTACCGACCCGGGCATCGCTCCCCGGTACCCGCCCGGGCATCATCCGCCCGGTACCCACCGGGGCATCAATCCCCGGTAGCCGCCCGGGCGTCCCCGCATCTGTTCCCGCATCCCCTCCTTTCACCGTGCCCAAAGTCAGAGCTATTTAGCAGCAGCTACTCCAGCCCCTCCCCGAACGTGGATGAAAACAGAGAAACCCCACAGTAGCTTCCCCCGCTCCAGCCCAGCTCGGAAAGCCCACATCCCTCAGCCAAAAGGGAGACCAGTTTCCTGGGGCTTCTGCCAAGCTCAAATTCCTCAGCCCAGACCCTGCCTCTGCGCCTGTGTGTACCGTCACCTGCATCCCCGCCTCCATAAACTAACTCACCTGCACAAGCCACTTGCATTTCAGGTACATGTGGTGATATTACATTTTTTTCAGGACACACATTAATTTATTCTCAAGGAAAATTATTTATGGCAGAATGTGGTGCTGGTAGAAATGAACCAACGAATCGGGGGAGAAGCAGTACAGACCCTTGATTGGGTCTTGGCTTACAAAGATAGGCTGGAAAAGTTTCCGGACTCTTTGAGTTGCAGCAAGCTGAGAGTTGGACAAACGCCTTTCCCAGTGCCTTTACCCATCTTTTACCCAGAGTAAGGAACCTTCAGCACCATCCTGGCACTTTTGGAAATCTGAGTTCCAATCTGTACTTGAGGTTAACTGGAAGTGGGCAGGATCTCTTCCTTCATGAAGATGTACAGCAGACACCAACGTCAGTAAGCAATACCAGAACTTAAAAGGAATTGGTTTCTTAATATGGTGCAGATATATAGTGCCCAAATTCACTGTGTTGTAACCCTTTACTATTTATCTTTAATAATTGCTTCAGACACTTATTTCTAAATACTTAGTGAAGCAAGGCTAAAAGGAAATTAAAGGGGGGGGGGGAACAAAAAACGGGTTATTTTATATACCAAGCCAAACCCAGCAAGTTCCAAGCACAGTCCACTCACCTCTCATTAAAAAAAGGGAGGTTAGGACACTTGGTACTGTTCAAAACCAAGCACTGAATGTCCAGACATGACTCAGTGCCGATTACAAAAGAGCCTCGTGTTAACTTTCTACACAGTGACCTGGCTTACAGTGATTTCATTGTGTGATAACGCTTAGTTCACTGAAATAATAATTAAAAACAAAAGAAAAAAGCCCTTTTAGATTGATTTTGCAATAGTAGTGCAATAAGAAGGCAATCAAAACACGAGAGTTTTATTTTTAATTATAGAACTAAAAAGGCTAGTATTTTATTAACATAAGGTTGCAAATTAGAAGAGAAATGCCAGAACTCCTTAATAATCTCCACTGTAAAAATGCAATAGACTTGTGCTTTAAACTTCGCCATAACACACTATAGGACTACGTCCTCCCTCCCCTGCCCCTCTCTCCCTTCTTCCAAGGGCTATTGAGAAATATCTCACTGACATATTTCATCTGAAACTTCAAATGACTATGCTAAAGCAGATCCTCATCACAGTCACTTTGAGCCCGAACAGTTTGTGTATCACACAAATAAAAAACAACTTTAAATGAAAAATATTCAGAAGTTAACTATAGACATTACCATCTACGCTGCAGATTTCACTTTTTACAGAGCGGTAGCTGAATGCAAATATTTGATAAATCAGATCAAACATTCACAAGTGCATGTCTTCCAATTTTTTCTTACCCCATTTCCCTTTTTTTCTTACCCCATTTCCCCTTTTTCCTTAAAAAATCATTTTCAGCAGTCCACATACTGCCCACAATATACCTAAGCACAGTCTTCCCTAGAGCTAAAAATTTTAACTCCACCATTGCAAAGCATCCTACGCCACAAGTCCTCACCATATGATGGAGTGTAGCTTTAGAGGGACTTACTTAAACTGGAATAGATACAAGTTCTAAATATTTTACCTCCTAAAGGAATGTCTTTCTTGGAAAACCAGAAATATTTCTGTTAAAATACTGACTTGAAAGAGCAAAGTCAGGAATACGGATGAACACCTACGATTGATGGTTTTGCTTCCACTATGGCTTGAAATTATTTTTGTTTGCATTGATGTTTAAAAGCATATTTCGTCCCTAGAAAGTGTTTGAAAATAAAAGTGAAATCTAATGAGACATGTATGCACGGGGCAGGACTGCTACAACAGTAACTACCTCACTTTCACATTTGGAGAGATGAAGAGCAGATTCTTCTGTAAACACATGATCCAGCATCATTACACGACCCAAGCCAGCCACGTCTGAAGGACAAGCTCGCCACAACTTACAGCAGACCCACAAGGTAGCCTTGCCCTGGCAGTACTCAAAGGCTTAGACCTGGTTTAGAGAACTAAGGTGCGGACTGTTTCTCCAGCAGAGTTTTGCCAGAACTTGATTACAATTTGGTTTCCACATCTAGCAAAAAAATGTGATTTATGAGGTTATTGCAATGGACATTTTGGCAGAAAAAGCAGGCACACTGAAGTATGCATCTGTTATTTCCAAAAAAAGCCAAACAATTTCACTGGTCTGGTTTAGAGAACTGGCCTGGACTGCGCACAAGGCAGCGTTTAATTCAGACAGAGGATGGGGAGAATGGCAGAAATAACACACCAGGGGACACAAGGAATCTGCAACCAGCTTTGCTTGTTTGTGTCAAACAAATTGTACCAAGGAAGAAATATCAGAAAACTAACAGTACAATCCACCGCACTACAAAGATCTTCTCTTGCACAGCTCAGGAGAAGGATGCAGTGCTAAGATATTAAAAATGACATTCTTGTAATCCACTGGGTTCACAAGCTGTGGGGAAAGACTCAACAAACTCAAAAGGAAAAACTAGGGTATTTTTGCTGTAAGCTGGTCACAGTGGATTAGAGGAAATCCTTCAGCCAGCAAGAGAAGCAACTGCAATGGAAAAACCCGGCTCCCACCGGGCAGCCACCGCCATCCAGTGGGTACTGCTCACGGGCACGCGGACGCACGCGCTGAAATGAAGACAAGCATCTCATTTTCAAGTTGATTTTTGTAAATGGAAAAAAATGTATAAAATCTATCCATACGTTAACAGATACAGGAAGTTACACAATCCAGTTTACACCTAAAGTAATAGTAATCAGTCCATAATAATAACAACAGGGAAAAAATTCCAATGCCGTAATTTGTCCAAAGTCACTACAGGGCAGAGGATGGCAGGGGGAGGGTGGTTGGCTTCTTCTTTTTGGTGTGTGGATAAAACTGGCTACCTTCCCTACTTCCAAAGCAACGAGACAATTTCAACGGATATGTATTAGGAATACTTTTGAAATGCATCTGACTCTAGCATTAACACTGAATATTCAAAGATTCATATTATTACAGCATAATGTTTGGATACTTTTGCCTCCAGGAAAGGGCAATGGGCAGTAGATATTATTCAAGAGAAATCCTGCACCTGTCTTAGAATTTACAGCATTAATTGAGTTAAAGATTTTTATTTTATGATTTTTATCCATCCTGGAACACTTAAAATTTGTGTATCCTCAGCTCAGACATTTACAAAGCATGCAGAGACTGCTACTACTCAAGGAACATTTAGGAGGCTATGGAAAATGCACTGGGGGGTATTGGTCTAATTTTAGTGAACTCATGTCTACCATTACATGCAAGCCACACCTGGCAGTAGTTTTCCCCTCACGCCTCCATTTACTGGAGGCCCCAGAAGACAAGGCTTGAATGAATGGGCATGGAAGCTCAGGTACCATTTTAAGGAATAAACCAAAACAACTACTAGCAGGGGCCAGCTTGCGTGAATGCCTGCCCTGCTACTGGTGTACCTGTGGGTGAACAGTGTCAGTCTAGGGCTCAGAAAAGATGCCTGACTGAATTTTAAAGGAAAAGGGAGGCACCTTAAACCCTGAAAAGACAGACTTCCTGTGTTTGACAGGTGTATTCAATACACACACACAAAGCAAGACAGTAAGCTGTGCTCATCACCCACTCAGAAGACTGCACCATTTTTCTGAACACATAGAATATACAACCCCTTTTCAAAATAACAACAATAATAATAAAGCAGAAGTGCAGAATCCAGACTGTTGGGTGGTCTGTGTTTAAAAAACGTAAGAAAGAATAAAAGCTAATGCTGTAAAGACAACTATTCCCTTTCAAAGCAAAGGCCACATAAAACTGTGTTGTTCAGTTTGGTTTTTACTTCATGCCACCTGTAAACACAAGACTGGATATTCAGTTTCTGGGAAGAAATGAAACCACTTTTACATCCAGAGTAAAAGAAAGGCCCTCCACTGCCTGGATCACAGATTACCCAGGAAAAAGTAGCTGCGGGAAGGCTTCCTCTTCTCGTTTGCACATTTCATTAGAAAGGTCATATCTGAACAAAAGAGCTTTCAATAAAAGCACAAAACATTTTTTGATGTTATTTCTGCCCTCTGTCTCTAAAGTTTGCTACGGGGACTAACACTTTCCATTCCTCTCCAACAGATACATCACCTTTTTGGCACCACGGGTGGAATTTCTTCCTAATGTATAATTTTGCCTTATACAAAAGTCGATTGTCTAATCATGCAAACCCAACAGAATTCCAAAAAGTGCCACAAGACAGCTCAACTCTTTGCAATCTACTACCTAGTTTGTACACTGCCTTAGGAACCCCCCAGAGAACAGACTGTCATCCTTACATAGATCTGACGGTGTATTTCATATATGGCATTTCAACCTCTCTTTCTGGGGGGAGAGAATTGAAATCCACGCCCTGATTCCATTGATTTTTCACTCTCAGAGCTCTGAAATGCATGGAGATTTCTTTGATTTGTTGAAGACGTCTTCACTGAACAGCCTGATTTAGAGAAAAACTTACTGATTCAATCAAATAGAAAATAAAGACAAAAACAGGTAGTGGTAGATTTCTCAATCTTTGCTCCTGTCCTTGGAGACTAGGGTAGAGTTTCACCGCTACTGCATTTTCCCCAGCTGGATCTTCTTCCAGGCCTCTGATGCTGTGAAAATGCAGGAGTCGAGGATCCCAGCTACAGTAAATGTTCCGCCAATGATGGCGCATATCTGAAATGTACGGAGAGAGGAAACAGGTTTGTCAGTGATGAGGGAAAATTTTACACAGCTGGAAACTGGCGGGGGGAAGATATTATTGCCTACTGCTAGGGTATTTTCTGGAAGCATAGTAAGAACTGGGTAACAGTACTGGGGACATAATTACATGACAATCATTCAGGAAAACCATTCCTTACAGTGGAATAACTTAGTGCTATCCTGAACTCATCATAGCCTGAGCCAATCATAAATCTCAGTTCCTAGGAGCCTACAGCATGAATGCTGTTCCTTTCTGGGCTAAACTCCACCTAACAAAGCTTTCTAGAAGCTCTGTATTGCTCATATCTTCCTACTACTGTTTTCTATTATAAATACCACGGCCTTGTAGTCTTTTCCCTATTTCACAAGATACAGTATTTGCAAACAGGCAAAAGACACATAAATAGCGTGTGAAGGACAGTGACTAACAGAGAAACCTAGCTACCAGTGACACCTACAGCTAAGTCTGTCTAACACTTTCCATTACAAGGGCTGCTTACAAAAGCACTGCCTACTTAACTCGTTGTGGGCCAAAGTTTTCCATGCAAGATGTCTCAGGTTGAATTATTTAAACATCAGTAAAAACACATAATCACTTTCAAGAACAGACTTAGGGAAAAAATTAATCTCCTGATTAGCATAACAACCTATCTCTGTTCTCAAGTGCTAGAAAAACACAAAAGTATTCTGACAAAGGTACTTTGGCTTGGAGCACCCAAAACCAGGGGGCACCAGTTATGGACTTTGCAACACGTTGCTTCAATTCCCTTACGTACGAAATGGGGACAACGCCAAACTTGCCTCCCAGAGAAACCGCGAAGGAAAACACATTTGAAGGGTTCGATACCATTACAAAAGCTGTCTCAGAGTCCTTGTGGAAACATGAGACTTGTACTCAGGACCGGATTAATACAAACCACCTGCTAGTAACAAGGCAGCAGTCAAATACCGTAGGATGGGAAGAAACGCTGCTCACAGGGTGCCACCCCACCCCGCGCTCTGCACAAGGCAGGGTTCACACGGAAAGTATGATACACAATAATGTAACCTAATAACATTTAACAGCCAAGTTATAATTACACAGGACCTGGCATTTCCTAACTCCCACATTTTTGACTTCATAACTGCGTTGTGCTTTAATTTGGTCTTTTACATTGCATAGGATTAGGTGGCTCTGAGAAGAGACACCAGGTCAGTGAGAAGGGGACAAGATACAGTGCTTATGTTCTGAGAAGGGCCTGCCTAGGAAAAGGGGGATTTTGCTGTGAGCTAGAAGCCAAGAGAGAGGAACCCAAAATCCGTAAGCCAATGTAGCAGGGTGTCAGGGAGATGCAATACAACTGACACAAAGGGAACCGGTGCCACACCAGACCTACCGTGCCATGTCTGTTCTCCCACACAGCACTACAGCCCACAAAGTTACAGACAAAAAAGTAACATAAGAGCAGCAGCGTTCTGCTCAGCAGGGGGTTAGCGGTGGCAACAGAACAAACAGCTCATTAATAGTGAGCAAAGGCAGCAAGAAATAAAGCACTCATTTACATTCGTATTTATAACCAGGATAGATGCGTTTAGTGAGCTCGGTGAAATGAGGAGCTGCAGTAAACGTGGCTTTTGCAGGACAGTTGGCATTCCAGCAGATAAAGGCTTCAAAAACCAGAGCACCAGCCTGAGGCAAAGTCAGTATATTTAGGGGACGAGTCCAGCTCCTGCCCTCTGTGCCCCCCTCCTTGCTATCCCTCGGAGCATGACGCAGGGTGACTTTTCAGGGAAAATGACCGCAATGGTGTTGGGTTATTTCAGTCCACAGCAGCTCAGCTGACAGGAGATGTTACACCGCAAACAGAAAAACCGTCCAACACTAAGATTTTGCATCATATGGTAGGAAAATCTGATTTCAGTGCAGCAGTGGAAGGGAGTGGGGAATAGAAAAAAATATATATTCATCTGCACAGCTCTGTAGTGCTGAGTGTTTATGAGTCACACACACCTGGTATTTGCTTGGAGCCTGCCTCCCAGCACGCACACAGCCCTCTTGTTTTTTTGTCACAACAAAAAGGCAGCACCAGGGTTGGTCTCTAGGTCTGCACAGAAGCTGCACCACCGCGTTTCTTTATCATTACAGTTCTAATACTTATGGAGTGCTGATCCTTAGCACCACTGAAGGAAGTTAGGCATCATGCACTTATTTGTATTTAATGGAGTTTTATACCGGGAATGATCTGTGTTTGGCTCCATGAGGTTACAGTTTGACTCAGGCCCAACCATTAAAAAAGGAAGGAAAAGGAATATAGAAGTGTAATAATGACAGCAGTGAGAGACCATGCAATGTGGGGTACGCATCAGGGTTTTGAACAGAATACGATTATAGGTTAGTGGTTGGGATGCAGACTGAAGTCTAAAGGAAAACACAAGCAGATATATAGGAGGAGGCAAGGCTGCAAGGAAAATGACAGAAAGGCAAGTGTCAGATACGTGAGTGTGGACCTCTGGGATGTCCTAAAATCTGAAAATTACTTTTAAGGACAGAGGGGACCAGTAGGACCCCCAGCTAATTCCTAATAAGGTAAGCTGCAGAATCCCACTCGGAGATTTCTGGATGACCTGCAGCACATCTTGTAGAACAATGCTGTCTTAGTTTTTAAAACGCCACAGGACTGAGTCTATGATACCTGTCAGTAACAGGTCCCACGGCTGAAATAATTCTCACTGCAGCCATTTTTCCCCTTATTATTTCCAGTTTAATTTTTTTCATACCTAGAGAGCAGATGAGTCCTCTCATATCAGGAAAAAAAATTCTATTATTTTCTTTGGATTTTGAATGCTTCACCAAGAACTTTGGCTTGTTTTCTGCCTGCTCTCTCCTCCCAGCCCTTAGACTGACCTCATGATAAAACCTTCTTTCAGTTTGGCCACTTAGAGGAACTCATAAATTTTCAGCAGTGAAACTTTCCCCCTTGCTCCATAACCTCAACCACGAGGCCATGAATGGCTTCTCTTTATGGGGAGATGCCTTGATTTTAAGCAGTACAGTTTAACAGGCAAAACCTATTGTGTTTAACACTGTGCCAGGTATCTGTGGTTAACCCCAGGATCCATGGCAAATTCACAGCACAGTTAACAGTGGCTGCACTGACCCACAAGCAACAGAAAATCTTATTTAGTACTGAATTTTTTGAAGCGTGACATGTAAAGTAAAATCTATGCTAAACCAATACCTTTTGTCCTGCGCAGGAAGCACCTCTCACATGGTACAGAAAATTAGGATAATTCTTCACACCACAAAAACCCACGGAGCAGGCATGAGTTAGAGAGGGTCCGTCGGGAACACAGAAGACCTGGGAACACTGCTATAGTGCTATAATGCTGCCCTTAGCAGCGCTGAAGTTTTTTGGGGGCAAACTCATTACTAACAAAGAGCATCAGATAACCTTCCCAGCAGCAGAATGAGATTCCTTTGGCTCTCTGCTGAACAGCCAACACCCCTCTCCCATCTGGGTTGTCCCTCCACAGCATATCCTTCCCTCCAACATGGATACCGTTTCCCGTGACAGGCAGCCACACTTAGCCACAGCGTCACATCTCTAACTGCTAAAGTCTCTTTCAAGCCCACAGGATCCTCCCTTATCCCCGGGACACATTTAAATTTACTGAAAGCCACATGGGTGCCGTAGTAAACAATCTGCTCACTAACAGGAGTTGCAGGTGATCCCCCCCCTACCCTACAGCCCCTCTTGTGGTTTTTAAATTAAGCAGCTGCTGCTCAGAAAAAGCTGATGCTTTCCATGGCCAGCCCATACGGCAACGACTCCAGATGCCCCAGCACAATCTCTGTCTGGACCTCAGCCCAGTGCTGATTATCACTAACTGGTCTCCAGAGCAACTGTGATGCAAAAGGCCACGCTGGAGATACAGGAAGGGGCTAAAGCAGCGGAAAGGACAATGGAACAGATCACGTCATCAAAACAGGGCAAGGAAACCTAGGACAAAAGGTGTTTTGATCCTCCGCAGCACTGCTCCCCCCTTCCAACCTTTTCAATGCCACCTTGAACGCTGTAAAACTTAAAGTACATACACAGCCAAGGCTGCCCTGCTGGAAAACATTCCTAGCCTAAAAGTGAGCAAGAGCAGGTCATCTCTACCAGGGCCAGATGGTCCAGACCGATAGCCACAGTATAGCATCTCTAACAAGGATCTGCCTCTAAGTCAGGCACGTCTGAAAAGGGTATGGCACACCTGCCTGACGTACTAACAGCTACTGCAGATATCAGCGTCATCCACACATCTCCATCGGAAGGACGTTCAATTGGAATGGCTCCAAGTGAGCTGTTTGAGACTACAGCCATTTATAAGACCAAACAAAGTAGACAAAAATCCATTGTAAAACTCTTCTTCAGCAGTCTAGCAGCCAGCATGTGCTTGGCTAACTTTACAGACAGAATCAGGCAAAATTCTAGCTAGGGCCATCTCAAATCCAAAAGGTCATTGTGGCAATCAGTGAGGAAAGCCTCTCCTGTGGACTCCTTATGTAAATTCTGAAGCACAGTATCAAATTCCACAAAGATGCTATTTATATGCATACAATGGCATATTAATAGTAAATCAATGTAAGCAACAGACATGACAAAGAATAATGCCAGCTATCAAGCCTTTCCAAGCACTGTTTCCCATTAACTCCACACCCTCATCCCCAACAAGATGTGTAAGAAACCTATGCGTATGAGAGCATATTGTTAGAGAGATGCGAAGTCATAAAATGCTGATGTTTGACCTTTTTTAGGATTATGTTTTGAAACCAAACAGATGTGCTAAGAAGAGAAGGTCTTAAACCACGACATTTAGATTTTACTTCAAGCCCCTTTGTCTTGGTATTTGTGTATCCTAGAAATCACATGCATTTCTGAAGCTAAGTGAAGGGAACTTGGTGTTTATCAGAAGCTGCAAAATCAAAATCTTCAAGTGCAACACAGCCACACTGTTTATGTTACTTCCAATTAAAATATTCAAACAGTTTAAAAATCAAAATCTGAGGTCTTCATTCCAGCCTATTTATCAACTACTTCACATTCTACCATGCCTCACTGGCACAGCAGACTGCAGCTTAAATTTTAAGCCAACTCCTTCAGGATACATTTCTTAAAGTTCTGGAAGATCTTTAAATAGCTCTTTGCCTAACTGGCAGTTTGGACAGTACAGCTTTGTTATAGATGCTGAGATCAGTACTGCAGGATGTTATCTGGAGATCAAAATATAACTTGTCAGGAAAACACCTCTGGAATTTGATAATGCAGCTCTTCTCCACTTCTACCCAGGAGTAAATGCCTGGAACTGGCATACCCATATTAAGCCAAGCAGCAGCACTGAATAAAACAACTGCCCTGCATTCTCTGCAAGTTAGATCTCATCATTAGAGAGACGGTTTATTGCCGCATGCTTTACTGCATACCACATTAGCTTTACTTCCAAGTTTCTGACATGCTGCAATAGTGCCCATCCTGCCTAGACAGAGTTTGGCACTTCTGGAATAGGATAATTTTCTTTCTTCTTGTGCCTAGCTATTAAATCAAATTGTCAGAGCATAGGGCTTACCAGTTACCTCACTTACACTTCAGTACAATTGCAGTGATGTGCTCCTTTATTTCAATTATGTCACAATGCTCTGAAGCAGAAACTCAATTCTTCTGGATGAGAAACGCTCACAAGAGAAATGAGAGGCAGGCAGGAGAAAGGAGAATTAGAGGTTTAGAGTAACTCACCGATGTGATAAACCTGTACAAAGGCTGTCGCCTCTCTGTGTATTTCACTGTGATGGGACTCAAATCGTAACGAAACCAGATAGCTGGGATAATACGGCCAGTGTGACTGTAGGCTACATACTCCTAGAAAAGAAAGTAGGGGAAAAATAGCAGAAAATGTGAGCAATCTCCTTCCAGACACAGTCTGCATTAAAACTGCTTCTGTGGGTCTATCCCTTACTCCACTGTTATCTACTAATGATCAGACTGAAAGAAGCAAACAGTTAATTCCTGTATGACTGCTCACCCCCCACCCTTATCAAATAGGAAAATAATTTCTTTACAGTCTGATAATGATATGGCTGGGAACAGAGAGTGATGGTGCTTACTCTCACCTTCATTCAAAGTTACAGAAGTAAACAGAAAGGCTGTCATTGATTTCTCTAACTTAGATCTGTTCTATTTAAATACAAGCAGTCTCTAAGTGGTTGCAGGCGAAGTTTTTGTACTGTCAGTATGTAAATCGTATAGTGGGATATTCATCAAACAAACAGAATTTAGTTTGCAAGAACCTGAAAATCCCTTCTTATCCATGCACTCAGAACAGCGAGCAGCAGCTCCCGCCTGTGAGGCCCCGTTCGCACTGGGACCGACAATGTCAATGCTTTGTCCATTAAGTATGAATCATATAGAGCCATGTTTAAACCATGTTTAAAAATCATGCTGAAAGCCAAAATGAAACTGTATACAGAAAATTATTGGCAAAGGTTCAAGCTTGTTCAGGAGAGACATCTTCAGATTGCCAGTGATAATCTCCTTTAAGGCGTTCCTTTAGTAACAGGTACAGTGCAATCAATCAGCCATAGGACAACACCCCAGCAAGACATACTGCACAATGCCAATGTAGAACAGATACTAACATCAACTTAGCATCAAAAGTCACATCTTTTTGAGCTAGTGTTTTGGCTGTGCTCTCAGTGGAAATATATATCAAGTCTCAAGGATCAGGACATTTACCTTGACAGACTGAAGAAAAAGCAAAGAAAAGCAGGCTGGGGACTCAGCAACCTAAGGAGAGCCATCAGGACCAGCATGGCACACGCTGCCTCTGTACCCCAGCTGCTCTTCCCTTCTGTAGCCCTACGACATGCCTGCCAACTCAGATGACCTCTTCTGTTTTAATTCTCCTTCAGGCAGAGGCAAAGACAACCTCATATACTTTAGAAAGATGAAGAAAGGACAAGCAATAGGACACCCATGAGCATGATACAAAAAAGATAATTTTACTCTCTGTGAGCTCAGAGGGAGCTAGTGAAACAGCATCTATCTCCTTCATTAATCTCATATAAATCCCAAATTTCCCTCTATTCAGGTTTTTCTCCATGCATGACAAGAGAAGCAGAATGCGGCTGAAATCCCTAGTCATAATATTTTCAGAGCATTCATTGCAGAAGTTCTGCAGCGTATCTTGGGAGAGTGGCTATCTGGGGAAGTGAGGAAACAGAGGGTCTAGGAGGTAAAAGGGGAGAGGAGACAGACAGTCCACACTTAAGACACTATTAATCTCTTCATACTAGTCAATCTGTGCCAGGCTATTCCAATGGCTTCCGATTTCTGTTTCCCACCGATCAGTATGGGAGTCAAGGACTAAAGCACCGATAAGAGAATTTTTATTTTTAATGAGAAGAAAACGCAGAGGCAGCACTGTTTCTCTGCACTTCAGTTTTGATAGAACTGACCTCATTTTTTCCTTCCTCTCCCCTTTTCCCCACCAGCGATCCTGCCCTAATGAGTCAGTCTTGGCCGAACGCCTCCATTTGCTCTCAGAAGTGTCAAAAGCTCCTGCTGTCTATTTTCCAAATTACTTTCAGAACTTGCGTCGCAAGAGTCTTATCAGAACAACAGTTGTGACATTAAGCAGAACAAATACATTGTAATCTGAATAGAGAGAGACATCCAAATCATTGGGACACACTATGAAAGTAAGCCCAAAAGTCACTAGACAGGAATGTTAATCTGAGAAATAGTCCATGAGAGTGCATGGTTGACTCTCAGTTATGGCAAACTAGCAGTAATTAAATATTATAAACAGATTCTGGACTTTCACTTAGCACCTGACTGGCAAATAATTTTAAACTGAAAGAGGCTTTTTACCTTAAAAAGTAAATAGGGTCTTTTTTTTTTTTTAAAGTTCAATACATTATATTATTAAAATACAAATATTTTCACATTCAATGTAAATTAATTTAAGAATTATAAAGTTACAATAACTACCGTAATCCACTATAATAAAGTAGGCACTGTGAAATAGTCAACCAGTACATACTTGCTGCTGCAGGTTCGGTGGCTTAATATCTGAAATCAACATTTGTAAAAAGCTAAAAACTCTGTTAACTTATTTGTCTGATATATTCATCACAATTGAGACTGTTTTATTAATAAAACCATATAAGTGCTGTTTGGTATGTTCAGTTGGATTGCAGTTTCCATCCAGATGCATCTTGACACAAATCAGAAGAGCTCCTGCAGCATGTAAAAACCTTCCACACAATTTATAGAAATCTAGATCAGGTAAACTGATGTATGAGAAAGTCAGGAGTAAAAATACCTTTCTCTAGAATTAAAACAATACCACCACCTGCTCTGACAAGCCCTCCCAATCCCAACCCTAGCAAATGCCAGCACCAGGAGCAACAGGAAGGCCCAGTCTGAAGAGCTTCAGTTCCTCCTTCTCCCAGTAGAGGCTACTGCGCACCTACAGACAAATATACACGGCTGCAGAGCAGAGGAGCAAGAGGGAGGAGGAATGACGACTGAAGATCCTCCATGCATCCACTGGGCTGCAATGGGGAGCTTCTCTGAGAACTACCTGCTGCTTTACCTTATTTGCTACAGTATATTGGTATGAGTATCGCTGCTTGCCGCTCATGTCTTCGTACACCGTCGGGACTATCTTCAATATGTAATCATGAGATGCAAGAGCTGCACTCAGGAGAGGAGAGGAAAGGAAAGTGTAAGTTAGCACTCAGAGAAAGGAATCACAGCCTACATAACATTTCAAAGTAAACGTGCGAAATCAACTAAAACAAGTCAGTCACAGAAAAGGTATCTCCCTCCTCCTCACCTCGGGTTCTGTGACAAAGTGACAATTTCACATCCTACATGTATGTCCTTTGTACAAAACTTTGTAAGGTACTCGGATGACACCAGAACCTGCCCACCATTCTAAGACTTCTGCAGCACCACGACCCAAGGAGATGAGTTTGGGTCACTTGAACCTTCCTAACTGCTTGCAGCTATAAATGATAAGACTTATCAACACCACAAAAAGCTGTCCCGGTTAAATCAAAAACTAGCTAAGGTTAGAGCTGCAGCTCACTGAGCTTGTTTTGACAGAAAAAGCTGAGGCATCACAACCTGTGTAGTCCCATTCCTTGTGCACCCATCTTTCTTTCTTTCTCTTCTTCCTTCTCCTACAGCTGCTTAACAATTATTAATTCATTTTTTTATTATTTAAATGGCTTGTGCCATTTTTTGTATCTGCTGAAACAGTTCTAAAACAGAATTCTAAATGATTTCTCTGCAAGATCCTTTGGCCAAGAGTAACACAATGACATTTGGCTCCTGGAGGAAAAAAAAAAAGCAAACCAAAACACAATTGTCTAGCTTCAGGAACAGCCATAGAAATTTTGTTCCAAGAAGTGGACAAGACTGATATCCTGCGGGAGCCTGAACACTCGAAGGAGAAAAACTACGCTGAATTGTAGCATGCACTGGAAATTTCTTTTTGTGTTGCTGGTCATCCAGCCACAGGGTAGAATTTAAGGTAAGAGCTAACTTGCAACACAAGAACAAGGAAAAGTTCTGGTGGTGGTGACAGCAACAAAGGGAAGCTGTAGGAATAGGATATGGATAAAAAACTCAGTAACTCCGAGTCGGTCATAACGATCATAACAGAGCTGGAGACAATGTCCAGGCTGCAGAAGGGCTGCAAAGGACCTTTTGGGCTAAGACTTCTCTATGGTACTGGAGAAAATGGAAATGTCAGTTAGCAATGTCTGGATCATTTTGGTTAAAGAGGCAGATTAAAGACTTCTGGATACACCAGTGTTGCATGAATGGCCCTGTTTTCCCCCCTGCAGAGGGTGACTAAGACCTTTAATCACCAAGAATACGTACGATTTGAGCTGAGTTTGTCTGCTCCCTCCAAGGCATTGAATGCTCCATGAACGTTATGGACCTGGAAAGCAAAAAGACGTATGAAAAAACTATGCTCTGACTTGCTACTCTTGACCTTTGCTTCCCTATCCTATCCTGTAACAAGGAGATCAGCCTGATTCAACCTTTCCGAAAACAAAGCCTCAACCCAGTAAAAGATGACTTGAAATATCTTTCAGTGACCATTACCACAGAGGTTGGTTCCAAGTAAAAAAGCTGATTTCACAACGTCTTACAAGATGAAACTCCAAAACCACTCCAAAGCTAAAGGAATTGCAGTTGGAAGAGGCCAGTTGTGAAATTTCATTGTGAGATATTTCCTAAGAGCTTTGCATAGTTAACTGTGAAATTAATTTATCAGGCTGAAAGGGAAACAAATGGGTTAAAACTCAAGAGTTCTCCTGTAAAGGTAGCTCATGTCAGAGCAGTTGGGCTTGTACAGCTTTAACTTATTAGCCCAGCTTTCACATCACACACACCATGCCCTTGGAGATGGGAAGGACACATGCCAACACTGCCATCCATTCAGCTTTTCCTGCAGCTGGTCCCAGGCATGCAAGTATCTGTTTGCCCAGAATAACAGGATTTCCGTCCCATGCCTTCCACATACTATGATCTGGAGTCTGATGTCCACCAACAGCATAATCAATTTGTGACCTCTCTAGACAGGGAAAACCCCACAGCAACAGCTGTAGATTAGAGGTTGCATCATTCACATAATGTACAATAAGCTATACAGAAAGGACAAATAACTCCACAACCTAGAAATTCCTGACCTTAAGCCAGGCAACAGGGTATTTGGTCATGCGCGTGACAGTTTCACCTCACTAACAGAGCAATGCAATCTCATTCCCAGACCCTCCCAACAACTGATAGCACGTGGATGTATTTGTCTCATCCTAATGGCCGTTTCCCTATTCTGAATGCTACGGAGAGGATGATGGTTTGGAGGAAGCCACAACTGAATCCGTTTCTCTCCCGAGAAAGGAAATTCTACAGAGACAAAATCATCAGCAAGTTCAACTGCAACGTGCTGGTCACAAGCACAGAGCAAAAGCAACAGCTGAACCTTCAGCCTTTCAGTCTGCCGGCATTTCAAGTATTTTACACGACAGCAACCATTTCTGAACCACACATGCAGACTGTACATATTCTTTACTCATTGTAAAAAGCATATGAAGAAAGAAAAGTCCCTGGACTGGGCTACAGTATTATGTTCCATTCTTGATACAGCTGAGAAATAAGTCTGTTATAGCATACCTGGGCCAGAAATGTTAAGGTCCACTTCAAACACTCTAACAGTAAATATCTGAGTGGTTACTCAGCAAACAACTGTACCTATCCTGTGAGGTACCTGTATATTTGGACTTACATTCTTGTCCTTCGCTCCCCAGCATCCACACTTCTATTTATACATAAAAGTTGTCTGCTCTGCATCTCTCTACACAGTTTGCAAAGCTGCGAGTTACAGAGCTTCCACATAGACAAAGCCATCAGACATCTCCACAACTGCCTGTTTCTGTGCCATCAGGTACTTTGGTGCATCTGCCTCTCTTGTGCTGCAACACAGATGGCGTTTGTAATTCCCGGTCTGATGTTTTACCATGATTCTCCTTGTGGAATATTCTGGACTCCCATTACAATACTTGCTGTCCGTAGATTGCTAATTAATCTCTGCTCTACAAAGTGCACAGGTGTGTTCCTTGGGGGAACATACTTGTTTGTACCTTGTTAAGTACCTCGAGGGACTTCAACAAAGAGTAAGCTTTTGGCCACAGTAACAAAATTGCTTTGCAACAGAGAACTTAAGCAAGCCTGTTTAGCCAGACGCTCTCAGGACTGTCCTGCACTACCAAGACCAAATCTAATGCTTGGAGTAGTGGCACAGGAGGCTAGTCAGTGGTTTAACAGTGCCAACACTTTATTCTCCTGCAACACAGACCTCAAAAATATGCTTGCCAGGGCCTTGAACACCCTGGGCTTTAACATCTACAAACACACACAAAGACATATAACTGGACATATAACTCAGAGTCCAACAGCAGGCTAAAACAACTTCCAACCTTGCAACTATCAAGTGAAGACAGGACCTCTCACAAGGTTAAAACTAGGATTATTCAACACCATGATCTAGCACTCAAGAGAATTCTATGATTAAAAACGTATAATCTCCTACTTTCCACATCTCTTTCTTTACTGGGTTACCTGACATGCAAGAACCTCAGTGGTTTGAATTTTGGTCTCATCTACACGAGGGAAAAATCTACAAAGTCTGCCACTATTGTGCATGAACTACTGTTGAAGAACTGAAACTCATTCAATGCCAGACAAGATTTAAATCTTTATTTCAAACAGACTGTTTTTTCTGGAGAACACAGCATGCACCTTAGTGGATCATTCTGACAGAGTTGGTAACAACCTACAAAGAACCAAATCCCAGCACACGACACAAGCGAATGAGAAGCTCTTTAAGAAATATGAGCATATATTACATCAAAGCAGGTGGAGACAACCCAAAATATTCAAAGGTGTATCGAGATAGATTTAAAGCTCTCCATACTTGCTGGCTCTCTACACTGCTTGCTGAGTCTTGGTAGCATCTGTTTAGTGAACATATCCTTCTTTAATTTGTGCTCTTGAACTCATGTTTGCCTACAGGATCAGCAGCACCTACATGCTCCGTTCTTGTGTATGGAGATGATGAGCAGTTATTTTGAACTTTGAAAATACTAATCAGAACCTGTCCAAATCAGGAGCCAACTACATGTTTGCTAGACAGGTTTCTCACCACCAGAACTGAAGACGCTTGCTCCTTTGCTCCCAACTGTCCAGGCTTCTCATATCATTCATGCTGATTCGCACTTCAGCTCCATTACTCAAAGACTCGATGATAAAACAATGGGAACGCTACCTTAGAGCACTGATTTCCCACGCAAACTGCAGAACTCCCTATTAGCACTTACCTCATATTTTTCATAATCTCAGTGTGCTTTACAGACATTAAGCCAAGCTTATTTATATGCTAATATTTCAGCGTTCCCACACAAGATATTTCCTAAAAGAAGCCGGGAGCAGAATCAGAAGACTACAAAGCAACGCTTAGACTTGTTAGCATGAAAAAGGGTTTTGGAAGTGGGTGTACAAGAAGCAGACTAATGAGACGTCTGTGCTGAGGAAAGAAGATTACAGAGAGACTATGGGTAAGCAATGTTTAGGGTGAGTCGCAAACTGGGTGTGCACATATATAACTCCCACCTATGATGCTAGCTCCTTGGAAGTAGGGTAGAGAAGTGCTGTAATCTGTCCTTATTGAGAAATCCGGAATTATTACATAACTTGGAACACCTGGTGAAACTCTATCCACTGGGCAAGTGCACACATTCAGCTTCTTCCCAGCAGGGAACTGGCAGTTCTAAGCCTAACTTGTGTTTCGTAGAACAAATTTGACTAATAGGTGTCTGCTATACAAGTACTGTGAAGTGAATTAAAAAGGAACTTGACTGGTGCCATGGTAAAGACAGTAGAGAGCACACATCTTCCCTTAGTATACTCACTGCTCCTCTGCAAAGGCAGTCAAGATTTGTGTGCTGTATTAATACTGAAAACAGTACTGCATAGGATTTTGCAAAGCCATGAATCCTCATTTCTACTCCCTGCAGGAAGATAGCCACATAGTTTTCCAAAAGCACTTTCAGTTTCAGATGAAAACAGCAAAGTTACTCTATGACTGAACACTGCTCCTTCCTGAAGTGGCGGCATGTAAACAGTTTGCAAACTCTTCCGGACTGAGTGTACATTGCATGAATGCAAGGGATGGGCTTGCTTACCCAGGCAGTCCTTTCTTATGTCCTCCCCACACTGTACATGGCCCTTCCATAAAGTCAAAGCATCTATAGTCACTCTCATTGCATTCATTCCCCTAGAGCCAGGGAATTTTCAGGGAAGAGAACTCACCTGTAACTTGTCCCCAAATGAGAGCTTGTGGATGATGTGAGTCATGTCAGGATTCTGAGGCTGCGCAGTGGCACTGTGCGTTGACACGTGAAAGTTACCAGGGACCTAAAATTAGTCAAGACAAGGAAGACAGCATTTCACATTTTATCCCTCAAGGCATTGCTAGGCTCTGTGATATGAAGCGGAAATGCCTGGATCCATCCAGCCTGGCAGGCTGTATCTACTTAGCAGTGGACAACCTCTGGCACATCAGAGAAAGGCTCTGACATACCTTCCTGCACTTGACCAACACCACCATACTGCATACAGAGCGGAGATCGGTTACATCCCGCAGCCCAGGAGTCTGGCACCCTCACATTGCTACTGCTGCTGACTAGGAGGTGATGAGTGGATCACTCCCAACTTTAGGGATTCCTAATACTTAAGGCTATGTCTTTCATCCCTATTAAAATAAGATTCATGTCTCTGACAGGCAACAAACACTTGCTTAACGTTTTACTCCCACATCTCGCATTTGTAAATGGGCCCACTGCTGCAGAACAACCCAAGAAAGCTGTGGATATATTCTTATTGTAGTACTGGTCACGAGCAACCTTACATTTGAGAATATTGTGCATAAGAATGAGTTTTATATAAAGAGAGGAAAAAAACCACCAAAAACCAATGGGGCTTCCCATACAAACTAAGCTAGATCTTCAGCTCTGAGCCCTGGCAATAGCCCTTCCAAGTACAGGATTTTCTCTTTTTCATTTTTTAAACAGAGGGAAATACAAAGTTCTGAAAAATACAGATTTCACCTAAGGACTCAGTTCCAAGACGGAAAATGAACACTGGTGTCATTCTGACGGGATCACTCTAGCATGCATACAATTTTCAGGTCACTAGCCCTACTCCATGAAGTCTTTCAGCAGATCCCGCTCAATCACTGTTATGGAGGGTGCAAGAATTTTTTCCTATTGCGAAAAAGTTGGGAAATTAAGCAACACTGAGGAGCAATCTGACATGGCCTAAGACAAGAGTGGGAGGATGGTTATACAACTAGTGCCCATTGTGCTCTCTGCACAGACACCTCACCAGCAGGGCCATGGGAGGCCACATGCAGGTTCCATGTGCTTTCAGGAAAGCTAATTTAAATGACTTGAGGAACAGCAGTGCACTCCTGGGAACACTTTCAGGTGTGGACACAAGCTGTGTCATACACAAGCTCGGTAAACAGGGTGGCAGACTCTGCAGTAAGTAGTACACACAGTCATCTCACTATTACCTTGTCCTCCCTCTTCAGGTTTGAGAATAACACCCAAGTGCAACCCTTGTCAAGTTTCAAAGCCTGGCCATGCCCCACTCCAGATACCAGCTCATATAGAAGCCTGTACAATTTCTGCCAAGGGACTGCAGACTTCCAGCTCACACAGGAGAGGTTCAGGTTTTCAGAGCCAGAAGTCCTGGATCAGGTCCCCTCCCTCCTACAGCAGTCCCAACCACTATATGAGACAATGCAATTAGTGGCCTTTCACAGATTAAGCAGTGAAGGGAGCTCCTCACTGCCACATACAGCAACCCCATTTTGAGTTGCTTTTGTGAGCAGAACACACCACATCTAGCAGACAAAACCCCAAGTATTTCAGCTCTGTGCTTTGGGAATTAACAGAACAAGAACTACCTTTCAAGAAGCCCTTTCCCAGTTTTGTGGGCTATCAGCTGCCAGTAATCTTGGTGGCTTAGGGGCGAGGAAAGAAACGTCCTCTTTTTAAGTCCCTAATCCTTTCCATGCCACAAAATCAGTAAGAGGTTCTGCCTGTTATTTTTAGATGCGATTTAACATGACCTGTGAGGAAAAGAAGGAAGTAGGATTTTGTAGCCTGTGGTACATGAGGAGGCGTGAATAAAGGGTGTGTCCTTCTTAGGACATCAGTGGGCCCCACCACTGCCTCCCCCCACCCCAGCTAGTCATCTCCAGCATTACATAGCAAGATTATTCAATTCTGAACACACCCATCCCAGAGAGGAGCCTCCTCCAGGCCTGGGTTTTCATTCTTTGAGACAGAAGCGGAGCATCCCGACAAAGCATGCGCAGAGGCCGCGTGCGTGTATTCCAAACATCTCAGCACGGAGCCGCTTCTGTTACGCTGGCACCCTCTAGTACGGAACATTCCTGTCTTTCTGCGGCTCTCAGACAAAAGAGCACTTGGATAGAGACATTGCCAAAGACCTTTGCATAGTGAGTCACATTTTGGAGGTGCAGAAGTTGTGACGAGTAAACATAGAAGCCATTTGGCATTTGTAGGGAGTTCATACATCCCTAAACATTAGGCTGCTGCACTGAAAGAGACAGCACTGGCTGCGACACAGAGCTGCTCTCTGCTGTTAAGCAATGCTATCGCAATTACCTGTTTTGGAGAACGAAGAAAAAGCCTGATCTAACACATTCTCTGTGGGTCTAACTATGCAGCCTCCTCTCCCCACACTGTTCTGCAGCACCAAGAGACTTAACCTTACCACTGATTGGGGACATGAACGTACACTTTACAGGAGAGACACTGACACATAGATTTTCATGAGCATTTTACAAATGGATCTTGCTAGCATTTCCCCAGCCAGCACACACTCACCCACTGTCATCCCTGCTCACCTTGTTGATGCTGAAATGGCCCTCAAACCTGCAGCCATCCCCATTATTGAGAGGTATCTTCATTGAGTTGTCAATATGACCCACTTCGTGCCTTCCCATTTCATCTTGGATGTCTAGTCCAACTACTGCATGGGTGGGAGGGGAGGAGACAAAAAATCAAAACAAAAGAAATAACAGGAAGGTTGCATAGGAAAAGCATGCACTGCTTTTACTGGGAAAAAATCCCCATCTTTTTTCCTGACATTTGACTAAACTGTCATTTGTCAAATATTAATTGTTATACCAGCTCTTCAGAAAGAACTTTGTAACCAAACTTTTTAGACAGCCTATTTGACACAAATGTACCTCCCATATCCTGCCAGCTGACTGCAATCTCCGTTACGCAAATAGAAAAACTTCAGGTAGACAAGGCAGGTGATTTGTGAAAAGCCAACAACTAGCTGGTGCATTCAGAGTTACGAATGCTCCCAGACACAAAGAAGATTGCTGTGAAAAAAGGAAATGAGTTTAGAAAGAAGCCAGCGAGGGAGATCAGCCACTAACACAGGCTACAGAGCGAGCACAGGGTCCGAGAAAACAGGTGTCCTGGCCTGGAACAGAAAGCGATGGGGTACTGGCAAAAGCTGCAGCTACTTCATCTCCATCCACCCTGTTACAGAAGAAGGGCCACTGCACCAGTTCGGGCCCATCTCAAGTATTACTTAAAATACAAAGAAAAACTGGTAAGTGAAAAGCGGTACTCACATTCACAATGCAGGTTTGGCAAACTGATGTTAAGATTCACTTCTATTTTACCTCCACTGTCTTTGTCTGGGTCATCCACGTAGAGCTCATTAACTCTGGAGGACAGAAAACACAGGTGGATTCAGGCACATAACTACTTTCCACAGGAAAAAAAACCAACTTGCATGGGAAGGGAAAAAAGGAGACTTTGAAGCAGAGAGTTTGACTGAGTGACAACTGCAGCGGAGTTACAAGACAGAGAGCAGGCAAAGCCCTCCACAACTGCATGGGGGCAAATCACGACTTAATTTTACTTCTTGCTTGGCAAGTGCAGGAGGCTTTAAACAAGTCTCTTGCACCAGCAGAAAAACAAAATTCCTGCTCTGATTTATGCTTCCTGCCTCCTTCCCTGACTTGAGTTTCCAGAGGTGATACAAAACAAGAACTAATGTTGAAGAGGTGGCAGAGCATGCTAGCCCACTGCATACCTGGGCTGTTACTCCTTTCAGGAAAGAGGGAAGCATGTGCCTTTCGATCTGTTTCATAAATAGTTTTAGAGAAAGACCGTTCTCAACTATCCCACAGGAAAGCTTATTTGTGTAACTAATTGCCTTTTGTTATTGCCACCCAGTTGACAGAGCAGCAGCAAGAGAAGGCAGCACAGCATACTTGTATCTCTCTCCTCAATATCTCATTTCAATCTATGAATGGTAACCAAAAGCAATGACTAAAATTGAGAAGAGGATTTGAGCCAGGAACAGATGGGAAGAAACATCCTGGGCAGCAGGATCTAACACACTATACAACAGTCTCCCAAAGAGTAATGTTGTTTCATAGCACCCACAGTGCTGGCACATATTTCACAGAAGACAAAATACAGATATAGAGTAGAAGAAATACAAGAGTATAAATATTTATTGTTGGCACATACAATCTGTCTGACATGTAAAAAGTAAACCAAAAAAACCCAATGCAAGCACAGCCGAATTAGTTGAATGGTCCTAGAGAATCCACTCCAGGGAAACTCACCACACTGAACCGAGAAGATGGTGAGATTACCTAGCAGCTCTTTCTCCCTCAAAGTCCAACACTGTTCAGCCTCATCAAATAAGAAGATTTGACAATTTATCTTCCAGTCAGACAGATTATAAAGCTATAGTAACTTATGTTCAGGCAAGCTACATAAAATAAACTACCTTCACTAGTAAGTGCTCTGTATTATTTTTATTTAGTACTCAAAGTGCATGAAACCCTTTGACAAGCCCTTGCCGAAGAGTCTATATGCTAATAGACAAACCAGACTAAGGGCAACTACAAGACATATTCAAAGTGATTTTGCTCTGGTGATACATTTCTGGACCATAATGAACTGTTTGCCCTGCGGATTCAGGAGAAACAACCCTTCACACTGAGAAACACAGAGCTGCCAATTTTTTTTGGAGGTAATTACTCACAGGTCAGTGGGGTTTACAGACACTCATTTAAAACCAGCACAGCATTTGTCTTCAGCTTCACAGCCCTACCTTTCTCTGTTTTTAATTGGCTTGACAAGTTGCTTGCAATCATTACTCAACGTATTTTTCAAGTGATTAATAAAAATGACACAGAGGGAGGGGAAAGATTGCTCATCAGTGACCTAGTTAGAAGCTTCTTGGCTGAGCCCTCTTCTCCTGGGTGGAATGCATTAAACCTTCTACGTGTTTATTACTGGCAGATTGGGTAGTGACCGGGATTAAGTCATATGTCCAAATACGGTTGTGAGGAGCAGCTCCAGCCAGGACAGGCATTAATCCCCCAAAGCAATGCACCTTTCTGCGCTCCCCGAGTCCTCCCATCAAGATCCCAGTTGCCAGCCAACCTGTTTCATAACAGCACCTGGCTTCTTCCCAGTTCTCTGCCGTCTGAGATGTGGGCCATGCCCAGCCAGTGCTGCAGGCAACTTAATGTTACTGGCAAAAAGGAGCATTCGTGCCAGGGCTGGCAGAGAAGCATGTCAGGGTCAGCAGCTTCGGCATCCCAGCTGAACATCCTCCAGCTCTTTGGAGGAAAGCTCTAGGAAGGTCAATATTTGTATTTGCTGATTTGCAATTCTGAACCTGTCAGGAAATGTGCGGTCAGGCAGAGTCCGTGAGCAAAGGCACATAAGCCTTGCAGTGACAAGCGAGTGAGAAGCGGTTGCTGGCAGAAGTCAAAGAATAAACTGTGCACAGGGAGCCTATGGAAGCTCTTACATAGGAAGGCAAGCGGTGAGGTCACTCGGTTGCAGACTGGATCACTGAGGCAAAGAGAAGTAGGCCAGTTTGTCCACGTCACACAGCCCATTAGACGCAGATAAAGGAAACTGGTTTCCTGTCCTGCACTCCGGTCACTGGACCAACGGTTCCCAACCTGTCCCTTGGGCAAGGCTCACGGCCACTTCCTCCTCCTCCTCTTTACCTAGTAGCCCCCTGCCCCTCTCCTACTCATGTTCCCAATTTCATAACCCTGACTATCACTCCTTCGACATCTGACAGCTCATGACAGTCTGTCCTTTCTTCCCCTCCCTTGGACCTGCAGTGCCACCTTTCATGGAGCACCCTGCCTGCTATCCCTCCCAGCTCCGGCCGCTGTCTCCTCCTGGCAGCATCAGCTCTGGCAGAGGGCCCAGGCTAACAAACCTAGCAAGGTTTCTTATCAGGGGATCCAAAGTGCACACTTTGCGCTGACTTGCTCTGTTACTGAGGTTCCTCTCACTTTGGGGAACCAAGGACACAATGACAACACACCACAGGCTACGCTTGCTGGGGCAAACCTCAGAAGAAACATCATCATTTTCAACAAACTGGAAATTTCACTCCCAAAATACATTCTGGAAACCTCACAGGTAAAGCAAACTTCCAGGGTCAAGGCTACTCCTTCCAGGATCTCCTCCTGAACCACCACCACCTAAGTCTGGATGGAGCTGGCAGAGAACTGGCACTCACACCTCCCTTGCTCTCCTCCTCCCCTGGGCCAAGAAGCCAAATTGCACACAGCCTTCCTATTATTTAATTGGACAATCCTGGGATGTTGGGAAAAGCACTATTTACCACCTCTGGCAACTCTCCCTGAAGGGATAACGTCTCCAGTGGAAGAAATGAAGTTGGCTCTAATTTATAGCTGTCCCTCCTAGAACATAAAGTGTCCCAGGAGTAACAGGGCTTAATAGTGAGTCCGGGATGGTCACAAGGGAAATAAAACCCAAGGTCAGGCAGAAAGACACTGTAATCACAGCTGCTTCTATGGCTGTTCAGAGAGGCAGTGTATAGGATTGTATTGTGACTCCAAAGATGGCACGTACCTCCTCCGAAGACCCTAAGCACGTAGGAGTTGGTATTTTACTGATTGCTGTTAAGGACTATTTGAATAAAAGTGGCACAATAAAGCAGAGGTAAGGTGCAGAGCTATGAAAGTACAACGAGGGCAATAGGACAGGCGAGAGGTGGACCTCTCCCTCCGCGGGGCCTCCCACCACTGATTCAAGGAAAGGGAGGAAAGTTTCTCAACGCAGCAGGAGCCGTGATCCACACAGAAAGAATCTGCTTCACTTCTAGAAAGAGCCACTTCAAAATACTTCACATTCCTGAGCGGTGCTGCTGGGTTTCTCAGCTGCTTATCCCGATTGCTTACAAACTTGCAGCATTACACAGAAAAAGTTGGAGGGAGTCTTTGGCTAAGATCGCAGATCATGCAAATGGCACGCAAGAGAGAACAAAAGGGGGAAACAGCAGCAAGAGGGCTCAGCATTTCTTTAAGATTTTATCCAAAGAAAGCCAGATCCGTTCTCCATGCTTTAGGACTTAGATTCATGACACAACAGCTTTGTTTCCCCAGAAACAAAACTTCCTCAGTAACTTATTTCCACCCAGCAGCCCTGGCCACTAATATTAGACACTTCAGCACTTCAACAGCTGAAGAGCCCGCGGCCCTTTGAATACAAGAGGAGACACACTACATTGACCTTTCAGAGCTTCACACACTGCCTGGGTGCTCTCTAGACGCATCTTCCTTGTCCCCTGTCCTCCTCGTCCTAGTCTCTGCTTCAAGTTCTAGCCTTTTTTCTCCCTCTTTCAAAGCAAGCAGCCAGGCACCCTCCTCCCCAGTCATCAGCCATACAGAAAATACAACCACTTACTCCAGCAAGCTGCATTTTACCTTGTCCTCCAATACCCAGGAGGCACTCTCTGGTCTCTAGGACCCTAAGCCTAAGAGGGAAAATAATCATTCTTTCTTGAGGGAGCCCAAACCTTCTCAAAAGACTTTCTCAGACAAGCTCTCTTGGCTCCACTTGCCATTTCAGCTCTAATCAACCACCTTCCAGAAACACAACCATCCGAAGCTGAGATTCCTGCACTACTTTCTTCTCAGTTGTGCCAGACCAGAGAAGACCCAACATAGCACAAACAACCCATCTTCTTCTCAATTTGTGCAGAGACAACAACAAGCAGGTCAGCAAATTCTCTACTGTGTAATAAATTGTGCATATGTCTATTGCTCTGCCATTTGTAATCTTCTTCCTTCTGTGCCCTGAATCTCAATCAGTTATTCATTGAGAAGGTCGTTGTCTCAGATGAGGTCTTGGCTCAGCTGCGAAGGACAGAAAACACACTGTCCTACAAAGGACGGAATTACAGTTCTCCAGAAGGCAGGAAGAAGGAGAAAGGTTCAAAAGACGTCAGTGTAGATTTGAGTCAGAAATTGCAAATGACATCATAACACGACCTTCCGCTTCCTGCTAACCCACACATGTACATTAGGACGAACGACATAACAACACTTCACAAATATATAACACCTTTTATTAGGTAATCTCCAAGTTACTACGCAAACATTAATTAAGCTTCTTAGCACCCCAAGCAGTAGGCAGCTAAGTATTACATCCTTCTACAGAAAAATGTCTGTCTCAAGGTCAGCCCATGGTGAGAGCAGGATTACAACTCCTATTCCCCTCTGACTACTAGGCTGTATTCCCTATGCTGGTCTAGCTTGCTCCAGCATTTCATCTGCCTCAACTGGATGAGCTGGTGGCGTTGGAATTGCATCTCCAGCTTAGCATCTGGGACCTGGATCAGGACAGAATTGTAGCACTGTGCTATCG